AATACGAGAGATAAGAGCTCGTAAAAGCTTGCTAGTTTGAACTTTGAAATAATATTGAAAGGCACATCTTGCTGCGCATACCGCGTTTGAATTTGAATTTATTTCTTAAGGCACTTTTTACCGCTACCGTATTACCGAACTCTTCATTCCTTCCAATCTTTAATAGACCAACAACGCACTTCCGATCTTTCTGACATTGTGAGTGTTCATGACGGTTTTACTTTACATAAAACAGAGGCTGCCGGTTCACTCTGTTCTGTAAAAAAAGTATGCATATTTGCGGGTCTTCTTGGGGTGCTCTGTTTCCATGCCTTTACAACTTATGTATGTGCAATGTATTGCACTCGAATAAAAATATATTACAAACGGCTCTAAATAATTATTATCAACCTATTATCTTAAAGAGTGAAATATGATTCGTATTATACAAAATAGTAATTCGCGTTATACTTCCCGGTGGTAAAAAATGCATTGTTTTAATTGCTAATATACTTGACCTCTCTCAAGAGTCGTATGTAAATTAAAAATCAAAGTTTATAAAGTCAACTCGACAAATAGAACCCTTTGTATGAGTAATATGAAAAGTTTTGCTAAGCACTAAATGGAATAAAACCGTGAAACGAACTCATGCCAAGTGCATATTATAAAAGAAACGCAATCCGTTAAAAGGTTTTCGAGGAAATGTATAATGGCCGCTAAGGGAATATCTACATCTATCAATATTCGTTTCGCTTACCCTCGTATAATTGTAGGAAATAATATATGGAGGACAAAGTTAAGGTTCACTCGAATGTAATTACGCCTTAGTTATAAATTTTATAATTTAATCTTGTTTTATTAATAATAATAAGAATGTCTCGCAAGAATATACAATAAAGTAAAGTATGCGTTTAAGTTGTTTGTTGTTGTTAAATATTTTAATTATTTTATTTTATTGAACACAAGCCGATACCATACAATTTAAAATTTACATTATACGAAGTGCAACAAATGGCTCTATTTTTAAACAATCTCTGACTATAATAACAGTAAAAAATTGCAACAATTACGATAGCAGTGAATCTGCAGCCGTGACCTCCCAGTTTCAGAAAAGTTTCCCAATATTTCGTAAAACTACGTAAACTAAAGTATTGAGAATCAGAGAGGTAAATTTATTTTATACTATCCACAATAAACTCGATTATATTATATTTTATTTGATACGAATACTTATTGAAACTATCGATAAGGACTATGGGTACAGCTCAGTTTTAAGGCATTAAAAATATATATATCAAGATATTCCTGTTGATTTTTTTCTTTCGAAAAGATGTATTTATTCCCCTTCAATGTACTTAATACCAGCAACTTGAGTCGATCATGCTCAGGCGAATGTGGTTTTCAGATCGTTAGCAACTCAATGGTCAACTATTCTTAGTTTTTATTCAATAGTTTGTACAAACATAAATAAAGTTTGTATGCGTAGTTAAAAGTTTTATTTAGTTCTGTTTGAGTTTTTCGTTAGTCAATGTACGAGTAATTGGTGTCAAACTGTCACAGTATAAATAAAAAGCCAGCGTATAGTCGTTAGTTGATAATATTTCTTAGTAGAGAACATTAATTTAATGTTTTCTTGTTAGGCGAAAATGTATAGCGAAGTTTCCCTTCTAAAATTAATTGACATCTTTCGAAGTTGAAAGTGTCGTATATCAAGGGCATAGAAAATCGTATTGGCGGGTTCTTGACCGCTATAAACGTCAGTCAAGCATCACGGAGAAATTTCGTACGGTAGCAATGACAAGGTCTAAGTCAATTCATAATGCAATCGGTATGTGAACACTTTCAATAAAATGATAGTGTGTTTTCCCATCCTTCATCTTTATTTGGTGACTTTTATAAATCATTTATTCATTTATACACTTATCCACATATACGATACGCCTCATAAGTATATTCTTCATAATTCTTATAATTTTGCGATACTGTCCGCTATGAAAGAAAATCTTAAAGTTTACGTATTTTACATATTCAAATATTATTTTTACTTCCGACATACGAATTTCTTTTTCATATCAAATATAAACTTGAAAACTGTGATTGTTATTCCGAATGTTCTCGCTAACGATCCTGACCCACAATATGTCAGATATCTGGATGACTAATCTCATAATCATATCAACATTTGCGAGGTCGATTGACGATTTAATGCATGGATTCCCTTTAAATACCAGAACCATGACAAAATCAAGACCAAAATATATTTCATAATAATAACAATAAATAACATTGCCATAATTTTGTGACAAGAGGGAGCAATTAACTAAATTATTCTATTGGCTAAATATTTAATATGGCATCATTATTTTTGGAGCTTGTCATAACGACTGGCAATTTATGCGAATATGATTAAGGTTGCTAGTAATAAATTTAAATATAATTTTGACTGTAAACAAGCTTTATTTACTGGGATAATAAATATGGCTAGTTTGTATTTTAAATTGGACTTTTGTAATTATTTTTTTCATATTTTTAAACTCAAATTCAACTCTATTTTTTTTATTATAATATTATCTTGCAATCAGTCAGCTAGACTATGAGCAGATGTGTTGAGAGCTGTTAGGCGTTCAGAGCAAAATCTCCATCGAGACTGCTCCTCTCTTTCAACCGTGTCTATCAAGACTTAGGATTTGTCGCCTTTTAAGCCTATTTATTAGGTCCGGTGTGGTTAGTTGCGTGGCAAGCTTATTAGGATGAATTTCTAGCCTTTTTCTGTATTTCATACTCCAGGTCTTGATCTCCTCTATTTTATATACGTTTTATAATTGTGTGTTTAACTAAGTGTTTCTACCTAACCTAATTACTTCTCCTGCAGCCATTAAAAATGTCAACTGTTCAATTATATAATAATTATTGCGGGTGTGCAAATTGCCAAAATCCAAGTAGAGGTTCGTGCTTAACCAGTGTACTACAGTTAAAAAATTGATGCCGAAATTTTTCACTGACCAAAGTAATCCTGAAGTCTGAGTCGCAGGTGTGCGCTGGAAATCTTACTACGAGCGCAAACTTGTTCGAAAGATGAAGGAAACCATGGTACCAATCCAAAGAAGACAGATCACTAGCCTACTATATGAACAGTCATACAGAATCCTAAGGCCAAGAATATACCCTACACTCGGTTGAACATTTCAGTATCTGCATATATGTTGAATATTTTATTACTTAAATACCAAACATACATACTTTTACCACTGAGCGACTGAAAACGAAAGTCTTAAAAATAACAAGATCAAGAGCAAGTCACGTCGGTTTTTCTAATACGACTTGATTATTCTGTATCGGAGGAGTTTATCTTACTTGGATAAATTCTTTGAAAAATTCACCCCATGTTTGAGTCGCTGCTGTAATAGGGCTCGGTTGTCTTTGTTAACACTCAAGGATTTTGCATTTGGAGCCTTTAGACGTCACGATATCACATTTTATAGATCATACACCAAAAACATGTAAATTATATTAAGATCTGTTTACTAATCTAATATATAAAATTCTCGTGTCGCGGTGTTTGTGGTTAAACTCCTCCGAAACGGCTCGACCGATTCTCATGAAATTTTGTGTGCATATTGGGTATGTCTGAGAATCGGACAACATCTATTTTTTATCCCCCTAAATGTTAAGGGTAGTCCACCCCTAATTTTGTTTTTAATTTAGATAAAAAATGTATTCTTTATTTTTTTATGATACAGCATTAAAAATACATACAACCCCTAATTTTCACCCCTCTACGATCAACCCCTATTTTTTATTATAAATGATAAACATGGCAAAACGACGTTTGCCGGATCAGCTGGTATTTATTATATTTATGTTTAATAAACGACGTTTCTATTTTGCGCAGTCTTGACTTTGCATATCACTCTAACTTGTGTAAAATAATCAAAGAAATTCGAGCGAAATGTACTCTATTGAATTATTAATTAAAACTTCTCGACTTGGAGAAATATTTATGCTAAATTGTTAGGCTATATGTATATATTGAGTTTATTAAACATATAATAGTATGTTAAACAATTATTGCAACTGTTAACTTAGGTTAAGACGAATATTTTGTAAAGAACTTGAAATCATTGGTCACAAAGTACCATTGCAGATTAGAGTAGTGTTTCCCAACGTTGGCCCACGCCCCACAATGGGGCAATTTGATAGTTAAATGAGTAAGGTAAGTAAGTAGGAGTAAGGAAGTTATTCGAAAATGTATGTTTTTTTTAATTATTTGTAATTTCAGTTTTGTAATTTCTTCCTAAAACATATCATTTAAGTTTCTTAAGTGAGCAATTCAATTTTAGATATTAAAATTAATGTGTGTATGTAATCATGTCACAAAATCAGATAAAAGCCAATAGGCTGTATGCAGATGGTTAAAAAAATATATGTTACATGGGGGTCATAAGAATTTAAGAATGGCTAAGGTGGGGCATGTCACAAGAAAGGTTGGAAACTGGGTTAGAGAATTACATGCTTAACCATTATACTGTTCCATTTCGTCGGTTTGGTATAATTTCATATACACGATATAAAATCATAAGAAAATATAATCGTATGGCGTTAAAACCTTCTTATCATCAGTATCCATCAAGCGCGATGACATCTCGCATACAAATTCAGGCCTAGCTGTTATCAATTCTAAGATACAATTTAGATCTGACGACATGACATTAATATTATTAAGAAACTGTTAATCTCACTTGTCTGTTATTATATATTTAATAATATCCCGTTTACTTTTAGAAAGGAAGGCGTAGTTACCTAATATGTTAGTATATTATTTTGTTTGTTTGGGATTTTAATCCATTCCACAATAAAATATTTAGTAAGATACTAAATATTGCGGTATTAATATAGAACTGAACTGAACTGGGGACAAGGAAAATTGTCACGTTAAACAAAAGCCTGTGTACAAAAATTAATCAAATTTTATTATTTGTGGTAAAAACATAACAAAACAGAAAACAATTGGTACTATATCCTTAATGCCCAGATTTGTGTCCCCAGTGCTTATGGTCTTCGTGTCCACCCTTTTTGTCGTGGTCGTGGTGATGGTGCCAATGCTCATGATGACCGCCTTCACCGTGGTGACCCTTGTGGTCATGATGATGTCCTCCCTTCTCATGGTGACCCTTCTTACCATGGTGGTGCTCATGGTGTCCGCCGTGCTTGTGACCTTTGTGAAACTCACCCCCCTTCTTGTAACCACCCTCTTCGTGGTGACCTCCGTGGTGCTCGTGATGCCCCTTCTTTCCGTGATGATCATGGAAGTGCTTGTCCTTTTTGAATTCGTCGTGTTTCTCGACACCATGATGTCCCTTTGTGTCGTGTCCTTTGTGCCAGTGGCCATGTTCCTCGTGTCCGTGACCGTGTTCACCCTTCTCACCATGTTCATGGTGATGATGGTACCCATCATCATGGTGATGATGTTTCTTGTGCCCTCCGTGTTCACCATGATGGCCTTTATGTCCTTCATGGTGGTGATGACCTTTCTTGCCGTGGAAATCTTCATGGTGACCCTTGTGTCCTTTATGTCCCTTGTCGCCGTGCTCATGATGATGATGCTCGTGATGTTCATGACCACCACCCTTGTCCCAGCCGTGACCCGACGCTGCTGCTTCAAGATCAGCCGATCTCTTCTCCCTCATGTCTCTAGCGGAGACTACAGCCACGAGGGCTACCAACCCCAGAACTACCAAAGCCCTCATTGTATCAAGCAGCTGTTCTGACTGTGCCGTACTACAGCGCTGAAGATATTTTATACTGTTGACAATTTAAGAAATCAGCGAGTGTCAAGGTCGTATTGAACGATAAATGATTTCGACTTCCGAACCAAATGTTGCGTAAACAATGGCTTGAATATTATTATTAAAATTTCTCTAAGTGAATTAGTTTAGGTTTCGACACCTCAGAGCGGTCTGAGTGTCTTATATATATCTGGTCTGGTCTTTCAAAATATCAGGTCATTCCTGTTTATAAATAGTGCAGTAGAGCGAAAGCCAAGTAACTATTTCAAGAAGTGTTATAAGCGATATATTTTAGTTCTTTCACTCTAAATCACATGAATTGTTTCCACAAAAATTCGTAAACCAAAATTGTAATAAAGGAACAACAACAATTTCCAAAATTAAAGCGAACATTCTGCGGTCAAACGTTAATAAACAACGTCCCAAACTCTTGCAAATATCCAATAATTCACAAACATGGAACTTATAAGGCATTATTTGTAAGATAAGCGTTCCGACATGTGCCGGCCGCTCGCTCCCTGGAGACGGTTAACTTTATTGGGCATAAAGTAAACCTACTTTTATTTCAAGTGTAAACGTTTCATAACTTTAAATAGATATTTTAAAGTCGCCTCTTCGTTTTTACGTTAATCTCCGAGATATTATTTTGATGACTGGACGTGCCAACACTTTATTTATTAACTTCATATAAGCCAAAAATACATAATAGTGTTTTATCTCTAAGTGATATTTACAAAACATTCAATATATATTTAAGGTTTTCAGTATTCGGTGTAATAAAAACAATATTCAATATAATTTAAATCAAGCATCTAAATCGTAATCGAGCATTTAAATCAAGGCGGCAATTCAATTTTAATTTGGTTTATTAGAATCGTAACATTTTAATACAAAAGCAATTTGATTTTCCATCGCGCATCAATAAGCCACTGAAGTCAGAAACTATATACTAGAAGTTCAGATTGTATTATAAGACAGATGATGCTTTATTTATTTAAAATATAACTTTTTACACTATATTCCATCACTATTTCTCTTTACTGTTAATTTGACAGTATTCAACGCTGACAAAAAATAGGTCTTCGACAAAAACAGGACTTAAGTATGAATAATCTTACCGAAACGAAAACAGTGCCTCTAGTGGTTTCGCGTAGGTAAAACAAGGTTTTTTCTTACAAATATTTGAATCAGACATGGAACTTTGTCAAACAGCATTAACGATCAAAGACAAATATAATTTTTACTTGTATACTTATATATAAGTTTTCTATCGAAGCAACACGTTACCAGCAAGCAACCCGAAAATGTATGTTAGTATAGAGGAAAATATCAAAAAGTACGTTTGTAAACATTTCAGTATAAATTTATACGTTAACTTTACAAGCTAAATAACGTGAAAAACTAATCAACTTATATTATGAGTGAGATGTGTTAATAGAGGTTGTTAGTGAGAGACCTTCGAATATGTTGGAAGTTCGGACCAATTAGCTGATGTGTGTTTGTGGAGTGAATATAAATAGGAAAGTGCCTCCAGCTGCTACAATTAGATAGTTAGGGTTAAGTAATTAGATAAATATAGTTTTGGGTGTAATATCAGTATGAAATGAATAACTGAAGTAATTTTCGAGCTGCCTTGCCATATCTGTATATACCTTTATTGTAATTCTCTTTAGAAACACATATACGTGACAAGAGATGTATTACGTACAAGAGTAGGTACTTTTCCGGATTAAACCTTATAAATAATCCAGGCCACTCCGGCCACGAAGGATAACGCAAAAGATGCACGTATTGCACCTTTGTTCCCTAACTCCTAGGTACATATTATAATTCGTAACTGTCCAAATAGTTCTTGAGGGCTGTCAAATATGTCCGACAGCTATTGAAACTATATTTAAGATTGACGTTATAGAAAAAGTAAAAAATCGCCCGAGCCTAAGATATAAAAAAAAATTAATAATAATTAATATACAAACATCAGGCTTAAAAAAACCTTTTTTTTAAATTTTATAAAAGAAACAGTTTAAATTGTTTTACACAAGTATTTTTTGTTAAGGGCAAGGGCAATTCGACCTGTAATTTTCAATTCAAGACTAAATCTTTTGAATGTAGCAAATTTCAAAAATAAATATTAACAAAAACGATCAATGGATAGACATTTAATTAATGTAACTCTAATCAATATTGAAGATTCATCCTAAAAGTTCTTACTATTGTTGATTTTTACAGTGGGCAACATTAGGACTTCCCTAGTGGGACTATAAGCCCCAATATTTAAATGACAGTAATAACCACTAGTCCATTGAATTGTTTTCTTTCGACTGCTAATATTTGGAACTTTCCCATCGCGACATTAACGGCAGGGAGTTATTTATGAATTATTTAAATACGAGTGCCTTTCTATTTAATATTTTATTGCATTATTAATTTTTCGACCGATACCTCATAAAAAACAACTTGTTTTAATCATGTTATAAACCTGATATACGATAACCAGACTTTTAAATTGTTTTGTAATAAGTTGATTACAATGAAACTGTATCTACATTTATTTAAATGCCACTTAATTCCGTGGTTTATTGCTTGCACTTAAAGACAACAAAATCGAAAATAGGTAGCAAGCTCATTAATATAAGAAAAGGTCCTTCCTTAAACCCAGTAATATAATTGTTATCCAGGGTTGTATTGCAAATTGCAATCTCTCTCGATCAATGTACTCTCTATCAATGTACTCTCGGCGTATCGCTTTTTTTCACTAGATGGCACGGGGGCATCGTAGGGTTAGATAGTATATGTAATCCCGTAAGAAAACGAAGTATGTTTGCAGGTCAGAATAGTATACTATATGGTTCTTTAATCCACACCGTTTTACCCTAATGGATTAATCTGTAGTAAATAATACACCATATAGAAATAAGTTAGGAATACTTTCTAAAGTTCTTTTCTTAAAGAGCTCCTAGACACTTTAATTTGCACTAACTAAATTCAAGAGAGTGGCATTGTCCATTTTTTTATCTTCTCAAGCAAATAAGTGTTAAGCTGTAACGATAGAATATAAGTTTAAAATAAATAAATATGTCACACAACAACTCAATAAATAATGTTTATAAAACTTAATAAGAACTTGCCATAATTGCATCATATCATCAAGTATTTGTCTTTTTTCATCACAGCGTTAACTCAATTTGAGAGAAAAAGATGAAAGAGTACTTTAGTGAAGAGTGCGGACTAATTTAGTTTTTATGAATATGGGGTATATAAAATAATTAATTTTTGAGTGTGATTTATTAAACAAAACGAAAAAGAGACAGCAAATTCCTTTAGTGGACATACATAAAATATTGTAGTATTGAAAACTAAACTACAAAAAAATACGGTACATAATATATCATCTGTATTCATAAAGTACCTAACGTATTTTTAATAACTTTAAGTTCTAAAAGAATGGTTCTAGAAAGATTATCTTATGCTTAAAGGATGCCGCAGGGGGAGGGGGGAGGTTATAGGTAGCTTCTCCCCCCACCCGACCTAGAGAATTGAATCGTTGTTTTTTGATTAATTTGTCATAATTAATTATTATTTATTATCTTGGCAAACGGCGACACTCTTCATCTGTTTGCCTTTTAACAAAATTGTCATAATATCTTAACTAGACTTTAATAAACTGTATAATGTTTTAAAAGACAAAGGAAAACCTTTACACACAAAAATAAAACAAACAATTCACTATAAAAATCACAGTCGTTTATTAATAATCCATAAATACTGGTAATTAAGATACCGACGAAGAGAATTATGAAAGATAGCATAATTAAAATTTAACTATTACAACTAGAATGTAGTGAACCGCGAATAAGATATGTACGCCTGCCATTTCTTGCTCTTAGTCTGTCAAAATCGAAACCTTATTTGCGAGAAACAGAACGTATTAAACTTGAATAGCTCTTAATGTATTGCAAAGGCGAAAAACATTTATAACGTGTATTATATACTTCATAAGTGAAAAATGTAACTCCTTCACTTATATAAGAATTATAAAATTCATACACTAAAGCTTAGGTTCCTAGAAAAGCGGTGCCGTTATCTAACGGCCGTAATGTAACGTTGGGTGACGTCACCTATACGTTGTCTATAACATCGGAATAGGTTTTCTAGAGAACGTTGAGTGTCACCGTAACGTCAAATAGCGGTGCTGTCATTTGCATGACGGCCGTCATAGCGGTGATAAACATTAGTGCAACGTTTTTCGCATGTAGCGGTGCCCATATTTAATAAGTACAATGAGTGGAAACGTGACTTGGACGAGTGAAAATGATTTATTTTTTGGATTAGGCTAAAAAGTAAAGACGGCCGTTATTAACAACCGTAAAATGACGGCCGTTAGTTAACGACACTCATCAATCTTGTATTATATCACAAATATACTTGCATTTTTCCTACATTATTCACTAAAAACAGAACCTGGCCTATATTGACGTCTTAATGAACTAATTAAACATGCAAACGTAATAATCACGTGACTCAAGCCAAGCGATGAAATCAAAACCCCGTTCCATTAACAAGGTTTTTGACGATTTTAATAACCAATACAAATACTTATTTCAGTAAGATAATATCGTATTATGACCATTTTATAGGTCAGAGACGATGTAAGTGGTAAATAGATATATGTCCAAAGAGCAGGACAAAGTCACTTCCTAGTACAAAATCTGATTAATTTAAAGAAAGAGCCTTTTGACAGTGTGAATATCCATGGATATCACTAAACATCAAGTAAAGGCCCAGTTCTATACAAAAACAACCGGTACTTCGTATGTGTTAACTCATGGTAGGCTCCCTAATATTGTAAGACAAAATAAAACTATAAATAATCAAAACACGACACTGGCACCCTATTTCATAACTACATTGAACATATAAGAAACCAAATATCACATAGTACGTAACCGGCGTTATTATAA